AGGTGTAGTTATATTAAGGCTTTAACTATTAACTTAAGGATTTTTTTAAAAGTAGGGCTATCCTTTTTTATAATAGCTATAATCTCTTTATTATATTCTAGTTAGGTAGTAATATTATTAGGTATAAGTAAAGTAGCTACATTATATATTACTTAGATTTAGTGTATATACTTTAAAAGTTTAATACTTTTTAAGGTTATATTAATCTCTTTTTCTTTCTTTTTTCTTTTAATAGCGTAATTAGTTTCTAAAAGGTTATTACCTATTACTATAGTAAGAATCTTAGTAACAGCCTTTATTTCCCCTTCTCTATAAGAAGTAATCTTACTTATTAAATTTAGAGGAACTAGTCTATATTACTAATAAAGTTAGGGAACCTAGTAGTTAATCCCTCTATATAAAATAAAAGGAGAATATAAGTTTTAATATTATTAGACTAAAACTAGCTAATAATCTAATTTTAAGAGTATTCTTAAGATATATAGGTCTTAAGGATAAAGAGGGCCCTAAGTACTAAATCCTTATTATAAGTCCTATCTAGAAAAAGAAAATCTAACGTTATTAATATAGTTATCCCTAAGGTAAATATTATTTATTATTATGCCTAAGAGTTAAATATAGTGCGTCTAATTAGTAATACCCTTAATCCTAAGGTTAGTTTTAACTATTTTATTTAAAAGGCTAATTTATTAAATAAAAGATTTACTAATAAGATTAATAGTAAAGCTACTATTAAGAATCCCTCTAATTAGTAGGTTACTAAGGTGTCCTAAAGTAATAGTAAGCTACTAATAGGTTACTATAAAGTTATAAGGCGTAATATACCTTAGTGTAGTTATTAGAGACTAGCTAGTTTTATAGTTAATAGTATTTATTTCTTTAAAGATAGTATTAATTAAATTAATTTTAAAATTAATTAAATAGGTCTAAGAATCCTTTATAAAGGGCTTTAGTATTACCTTTAATATTAAAGGAATAAATAGTGCCTTAGTAAAGTAATTCTACTTATCTATTTACCTACTTAGTATATTATTATAATTTTCTACTTTATTAAAGTGTTATAGTAAGTACTTATTAGTAGCTATAAAGATATTATACACCTCCTTAGCTAGCTTAGTTTTATAGTCCTTAATAGTAGCCTTAGCCTACTAGTAGACTATATAGTTATATTTAGGCTATACCTAGTAAAGGAAGTTATTTAGTATAAAGACTTTATTATTTACTTACTTATAAAGTAGCTTAAGTGCTAGGCTTTAGCTTCTTTATATTATAAATCCTTTAAAAATAGTATTTAATAGCTTCTAGCTTACCTAAATAACTAAGACTAGTTAAGGCTTATTAGGTTAGGCTATATTATTATCTTTAAGCTTAATAACCTAATCTAATATATTTAAAGTTAATTCCTAAATATTAAATAAATTTATAGACCTATATTATTATTAGGTTTTATAAGGTTCCTTTTAATAACTAGAAAGCTTAGTCCTCTTAGTGGTATATATATCTTCTATTAATACTATAATTATTATAGAATAAAATAGATTTATAAAGTCTTTAATAAAGGTAACCTTTTTTAATCTTTTTTAATTTATAGACGTATTTAACTCTAGCTAGGCTGCTTAATAGGCTAAGTAGTCCTTAAGCTTATTACTAAGAAAAGAGAATATCTCTTAAGCTAAGGTGTATATTATATAGAATTATAACTTAAATACCTATAGGTATATAAAGATATAGAAAAAGATAATAGCTTTATCTAGCTATTTCTTCTTATACCCCTTATTAATAATACTAGTTTTTATATATATTTTAGGATTATTAATAGCACTAAAGTACTAAAATAGTAAGTAATAATAGCAGACACCTTAAGTAATATATTATTAGGCCTATTTATAGCTAATAATTATATACTATACACCTTTATAGAACTAGTAGACGTTATCTATATAAAAGAAATTATAGTATTATTATTAGCCTCTCTAGGTTCCCTAGTAGGAGCTACTACTGCCTCTTCCTCTATCTTAACTACGTCTAAAACTACTGCTATAACTAAAACTTCTTTAGCTATAGTTATAACTATTATTTTAGGTCTAATAATTAGAATTAGACTATTATCTTAAAACTAAAGTATTTAGATTTCTAATATTAAGAGTTATTAACTTATTAGCCTATAAGACCTACTATATAGCTGCCTAGCTTTTAGCTTATACGCTAGCCTTATTAATTAATATATCTTAAAAGTTATATACTAGTACGTTAATAAAAGTAGTACTAGATAAAGTTACTATTTAGGTAGTCTTATTATTTTTTAGTCTAGCTAAGATAGTCTTACTTATTATTATTTACGCTATAATAATAAATTAGGTTATAATATCTTCTAAAAGCTACTATAAGGCTAGCTGCCCTCTAGACTATACTACTAGTGTATTTTTAATATCTTCTTATAACTTTAATAGGATGTCTATAACTTTATAACTTAGATTCTTAGTAACTACTCTTATAACCCTCTATAAGAAACGCTAGAAGATAATATATATAAGCTTACTATCTACTAGCTTAGTATCCCCTTAGGCTTTTACTTTATATTATAAGGTTTAAATAGTTACTAGGAGAAATATTATCCTACTAGGATTACTATTATTAATATAAGGTCCTATAGTAAGGTTTTAGATCTCTTTATTTAGGTTTTAATATATTTTTAGGTCTACTAATCTAAAGACCTTTATTAACTGTTCTTTTATTAACTCCTAAGTAAACTATCTAAAAGTAATAAATTTAACTACTAATAAATAATCTAGAATCCTATATATATATACTTCCTTAATTTTATTAATTAGATTCTTATACACTAGAATAGTAAAGTTATTATATTCCTCTAGAAAGTCTAAAATATTATCCCCTTTAAATCTAGGGGCTCCTAGAGAAAAAGGCGTTATTAGTATATTTACTAGCTAAGTAGAAATTGCCTAAATAATTATTATAAGATTACCTATAGTTACGTTTTAAGAATAATAGCTTTATATAGTAGTAGAAGTGTTAAGTAGTGTTATCTATATAGTCTGCTTAACGCTATTATTTTTCTTTATAAAGGTATAAGCTTATATATTACTAAAGCTATTACTTCTAAAAAGGTTTAAATCTAGGCTTTTACTTTTAGATAAAGATAATTCTTCTTAGTTATCTTCTAGAAATAATAGATTAAATATAATAAAATAAGTTTATAAATTATATAATCTAAATATTTATTTAAAGATAGTAGTTATTTATAGACTATAATAAAAAGTAAAAGTGTTAGTAATTTTTAAAATACTTAAAAGAATATATCTACTATATAAGTTAGTAATATAAGTTATTTCTTATTATATAACATACTATAGCTATCTAATAGCGTTAAGTAATAGCTACTATTTTATACTTAAGTTTACTTTTTATAGGTTTATTCTTAATATCTATATCCTTTATTTAGTTTTCTTATAGTTATATTTATTAATATATAATTTAATTAGTGCCCTTACTTTACTTATTACCTTAGTAGGACTACTATTATTATCTATATTAGTATGTTTTTAATTTAGAAATAATAGCGCCTCTTAATAAATCTGATTGCCTAGTAATAAAGAAGTAAATAATATAAATTCTAAAAATAGAAAGGCTATATATAACTAAAAGAAACGTAATCTACTTAGCGTATTTCTATATCTGTCTTTATCTCTACTAGGGGATAAAGGCTTATTAGGGTTAATTAGATCCCCTTTTTCTTTAAGTCTTTTAAAAGCATATAGCTATTACGTCTTTTCTAAGATATCTAAAAAGGTTATCCTATTACTAGTTAAAGTTAATAATATATTATATTATATATTTTATATTATGTTTATTTTAACTATATAAAAGGGTTAGTACTACACTTTATAAAGTATCTCTACTTTAGAGAATAGTATCTACCTTTAGGCACTATTAAAAATAGGTAAGGTAAAAAGCTACTAATAAAAAAAAATTAAGTAAGACAACTACTACTACTTATAATAATATCTAATAATAATAAAATATATATAAATAGGTAGGTCTAGTAATTTTTAGACCTAATAAAAAGAGATTTTAAAGAGAAGTTAAAGTTTAATAGCATAGCCTTTAATATAATAATATATGTCCTATAAATAAGGTATATAGTAACGACTATATATATATTGCGGTTCTAGAGTATTAAGGATGATAGATGTTAATTTCTTTCCCCTGAATAGGTCTGCGAATCCTTTTATCTACTGATTTAGATTGTCCCTATGGCCTTATCCCTTTTCTAGGTTAGCTTCTATATTAGCCGACTATGTCTGCCGTCCCTATTACAGTATTCTTACTATAATTAGTAAAGGATTCTTATAAGCTATAGAGAAAGCAGTAGATTAAAAGTAAAGTTAAGTAACTACTGCTATAATTAGTAAATAACTATATATTAATAAAGATAGGTAGAGGTAACTAATTAATAAAAGAAAATTGATATTGGCCTGGGCTCTATAACCTGTGGGAGCATAAGAGCAACGAAGTGAGGCAATCGTTAGTATTGCTGTTCTAAGTGGTTGTGAGGAGGAAATCCTCCTCCCAAGGCTACGGCAGAGGCTGGATGAAGGTGAGGGGCCCAGGAGGTCACGTGACCTTCCAGCACACGGGCCCCCTCACAACAGAGATAGACACACAAAAAACAGAGCAATCAATTAATGCAAGGTTATCGCTGCCTATCACGCGCTTCAACAAATCGGCCGAATAGCTAAAGGCAGGGGTGTAGTTGTTATGTGCAAAAAATCCGAATTACGCTGTCTGTCTATATGCTACCAAAAGTATGCACAGTGGCCTGTGCCACACCGCTTGCTAGCTACATCCAAGTGTAGCTATTACAGTAGCAATTCTGCTGTGTCAGATTGTACTGTAATAGGTATCCTAATCTAGAAGGCCTAAGACGTAGATACTATCGCTTAAAAAAAGAATTTACTTCCTCTATCCGCTGTTTTGTCCCCTCACTGGAGCTCAAACTTCACCATAGTCGCCATAGGTCGGTGGGTCTTACTAGAGGGGGGCAAGTAAGGAAGCGCAGGCAGCTTCCCCTCAATGCCGCCCAAGGCTAGTAGCTTGCACTCGTTGTTGCGCACCCAGCCGATATAAATACTCCCACCGCCGTCGAGGTTCAACGTGAATTTCGACTCTCCAACGCCCTTGCCCAAATACTCACGTGAAAACGTGTCGATAAGCTTCTGCCACTCATCTATGCGGAGACCCTCGGGGCGGCCCGAATTGTACGCAAAGACCACACGGGTCTTGTCGGGCAGCTCCATCGCAGCAGCCCGCTCGTTCGGCTGGTTTGAAGTGGCCAGGCCGCCCGGTGTGCTGGACTCGATCGAGCGATGTTTTCGGTCATTGTCAAGAAAGTAGCGTAGCTGTTGGTGCTTGGTGTAGTCTAACGAGTCGTCGCCCTTAAGCGACGGCGCCGTGTAGAAGTAGCTCCCGTCGTCGCCGGTAAACTTGTGGTACCAGGGCCGGTCCGCCTTAGGGGGTTCGACATAACCAGGCTTAATAGTAGACCGACCGACCGTCCAGTACCCCATGCGTGAGATCTCTGCTGGTGAGAGCAGCGGCTTGTCCACGTCAAGCCGGAGATTCTTGTCAGCGTTCGATTTCGGATCGTCTCGGGCCGGCTTAATAAAGAAGCCGCCATCAATAAAGATGTAATCCTTGTTCGGCTCTACGTGCTTGAAGAAGTAGCTGGGGATAACCGTACTGCCTTCGCGCTCACCAACGATACTCATGGCCGTCTTCGGCATGACAACGGCCGTGAACAGGCCATTCAGGTGCATCTTCTGCATGATAGACTGGATCTTTGCGCTGCCACGAACGTCGTTGTCTTTGGCCCAGTTTTCGGTGGTGCGGAAATGGTAAGCCTTGGCGCTCCCGATGTCGTAGTGCTGGTATATGGGTGCGCTGGGCTGGGCGGCTCCGTACGACGAGACCAGCAGGACCAGCAGGAAGGCATGCTGGATGGGGGACCACATGGTTGCGACAAAACCGGGTGGGCAACAAAAAGCAAATATCTCAGGTATAGAAACAAGCAGCAGTCGCGAGGTGTAGTAGTAGTAGTATTGTTTAGTGCTAGGTACCTAATCTAGTGGCAAAGGGGGCCTAGTATATAACTATATTATTCTATATAGTAAGAGGTATAAGTATCTTACAAAACTTATACCCCTACATATATATTTCCTAAAATAACATAACTTATAACTTTAATTAGTAGAAGCCCTCATAATTAAACATACTTAAAGTAACAGATAGTATATATATTTAAGTTAAAGAGAATTAACTATTTTATACCCTCTTAATATTTATTACTCTAATCTATAATATATATATACTATCTATTACTTTAAGTATGTTTTATTATAAAGGCTTCTACTAATTAGTATTAGAATTAACTATTAGTATAAGTAATAGTATCTTATTACCTCTATTTAATAAGCTTATTATTAGAATAATAATTCTAATATAATTTGTATATATAAGTCAGCAGCCTGAAAGCTAATTTAAGGCTTGTATTTAAGCCACTAAAATTTAGCCATACAGAGCCTTTTACAACACACGTACGTACAAATAAGTCTTCATATACAGCCTTCCAACAGTTATAATTACCTTTATATAGCAAAATAACACGGTAATTTGCAGGAAAGTGCTGGGGAATTGACACAGTCGAATTAGGTGATGGATTTGTTGACTACCCTAAGCTAGAGCTACAGCTAGCAGCGCCACCCCTTGTAGGCTGGTGCCAGGTAGGGCACTTGCCAGGCCCATAAGCCGGCCGACCGGTAGGTCCGGTGGATTTATTGGTCTGGCCGGGCAGGCCGGCATCTAGCGGTATCGGTTACCAGGCATAGAGGGGCCGTGGGGCGGTATCTGTACGCATGCGTACTCGAGGGACTTTCGCCCTGGCGGCCACCTATTTCTTCTAAAGTCAGCATTAAACCCAATATGGCAGTATAAGGGGCATACCCAGCACAGATGTGGCCACATCCATGCCCATACATAAGCTGTTAGGTTGTAGGGATTGTAATAGTTAATTAATTAATGATATTATATGTTATGTAACTCTTATGAAAATCCTGTAGAGACATAGATGTTAAATAGTAGGGATTGTAATGGTTGATTAATTATATGATGTGTAGATCTGGTTAAGAACCTCTAGAACTATGGAAATTCCCTATTTCTAGGTAGGGAAATCCCGGACCAATCCTGGCCATTTGATTAGTGAATTACCCCCTCAAAGTGGGGCCAATTCACCGCCTATTCCCTGATAATTTGCCATAGGGCAACTATGTATTTGCCAGTTAATTCACATATAATTCCGCCATATTTAACACACCCCCTTAGCGTTAGTAATGTGATTAATTACTGCAGCGCCTGCGCTAAATATCCTCTATTTATAGCCCCTTTATTTATTAATTACCCTATAATATCTTATACGTTTTCCTCCTCTATCCAGTAGCAGAGAGTTAAAGAAAAATACAAAATACAATACAATACAAAAATACAATACAAATACAATACAATACAATACAAATACAATATATGTATTTGTATTGTATTGTATTAAGAAAAAAATACATGTATTTGTATTGTATTGTATTGTATTTTGTATTGTATTTTGTATTTAATACAATAATACAAGATATAAAATAAATATCAATTATAAAGAGTACAAGTATAACTTTAATACTTATTTATATTCTATAATACTATATATTAAGATTTAAAATATTAAATAAATATATATATATATAGAAATTAAAAAAAGAAAGTAAAATCTTAAGAAGTATTAAGTTCTTAAAAACTAAAGTAATAAGTCTAGAAGTTAAAACTATAAAAGTCTATAAGTATATAAGTATATATATATAGTTAGTATATAAATAATTAAAATTATATTATATTATATATATAGTATAAGTTATAATATAAGTAATAAAAGTAATAAAGCCTTAGTATAAACTATATATAGTATAAATAAATTATAAGAATTATAAAATAAACTTAATACTAGACTATTAAATTAAATATAAATTATAACTATTTAAAAAAATTTACTTTATATAATAAGATTTATAAGTATAATAAAACTATCTAAGTAAACCTAATTATTTAATAAGTTAATATATATATATATTATACTTAATAACTAGATTCCTCCTCTATATCTATATCTTCTACTTCTTTATCTTCTTCTTCTTCTATAGTACTATCTTCTTCTTCTGCAGAAGAATATTCAAATCCTATATTAAAGAGATTACTATATATCTTAGGTGTATAAAATATACTATCTAAATTCTCTAAATTACTAGATTCTTGCCAGTCTTTTAAAAGTATTAACTTTTTCCTAGTATTATTAGAAAGATTAGTTCTTCTTTTAGTAATAATATTACTAGAAGAATTAAAACTACTTTCTACTGCAGTAGAAGTAGGAGGTATAGCTAGGTATTTTCTAGCTAATATAGATAAAATAGGGAATTTTTCTATATTATATTTCCACCAGTCTAAGGAATTAGCCTATTTAATAGTTAGTAAGTATTATAGTATATATATATATAAATATATATTAATAAAGTATTATAATAAGCTAATCATTAAAAACTTAAAGATTAAAGTATTATAACTTTATAAATATAATATATTACTTATATATATAAGTAATACTATATATATTATAATATAGTATAATATATATATATATAAAATAAGTAAAGTAATATATATATATAAATTAAGTAAAGTAATATATACTATATTAAATTATAATAAAAATAGATTAATATAAAGAAAAATATATAAAAAGTTTAACTTACTTCATTTCCTATAGGGGGTAAATTATAATAGTTTTCTAATTCATTTTCCCTTATTTTAGCTGCTTGTTGTTTACTTTAAATAGGATAAAAATCTTTAAATTCCTTAGGCTTAGGTTTAGGAATAGGTATTTGTAATTTTGTTTTACTTATAGGCCCTTCTCTAGGTTTAGATAGGTCTATAGTAAATTTAGCTGCTTGTTTACTACTACTAATAGTAGGTAAATCAGTAGAAGAATCTGAATTATAGCTATTATCCTTAATTTTAATAGTTTTATTTAAACTAGGGATATATAGCTCTTCCTTATTATTTCTTTCTAAATCTCTTAAGATTTTCTCTTTTAGTCTAGTAGATATATATTAGTATTAATAGTATATATATATATATTACTAATATATAATATAATAGTAGTATCTTTAAGTTTTAAAATTACTTACTGTCTATATTCTTCTTTAAGATCCTTTTAGTATATATCTTTTAAGTATAGTATATTTTTATATTATAAATAGTAGTAATAAAAGATTATAAATATCTTAAATACTTTTTACTTTAATTCTTTAGTTATTTAACTTTATTAACTACTTTACTTAAGTAACTATAAGTCTACTATATAGTTAATTTTATTTTACTAAACTAAGAGTATAGTATTACTAAGTTATAAATATCTTTACTTAACTATTATTTTATATTTTATATAATAAAAGCTAATAGGCTATTATTAATTTATTAAAGTAAGTAAATATTTATATCTCTTTAAAAACTACTTATATTAATTACTTTTATATTATAATACTATTATTATAATAGAGTATATAATTATTATTACTTAATACACTAACTTATATTCTTTTACTAGATAGCTTTTACTATATCTTTAAGTCTTTTTTATTATAAAAAGTATTTAGAACTAGAGGATAAAGTTAACTACTATAATACCTTAGTTATTATAGTTAATAATAATACTACTATTAGTATTATAGACTTAGTTAACTTAATAGAAGAGTCTAATAGCTATATATCTTCTATATATTCTATTTTACTAGATAATTTAGAAAAAGAAGAAACTAAACAACAAGAACTACAAGAAAAACAAAATATTAATACTTTAGAAGGATTTAATCCCTATACTATATTATATAATATAATTATAGAAAATAAAGATACTATTATTAGTAATACTTTAAAACTATTATTATATAAAGTATATAATAATGAAATTATTAATAAAAGTAATTCTACTTTTAAAGACTTTAAAGTAAGTTAAATAATATATATTTAACTAAGTTATTAAACTTATTACTAATATTTTATACTTTAGAATACTATTAGTAATACTATAGAGAATAGTATTAGCTATAGCTATTATACCGTGGGAAGAAAGTAATATAAATACTACTTTAGATTATAATAT